TTGCTTTCTGTCTCTGTCTCTCCGGTGAGCGCATGTGCCCAATAGCAGAAATCTTTCGGGGGAAAAAAAGAGATTCTAGCATGGAGCAGGAAGATTGAGAGCACATTCGAACCAGGCCTGGCCACCTCCTTTCATTCCCCTTTAACAAGAACCCTGGGCCCTGCCCCCTGTGGCCCTGCTGGGTGACACATTAGCCACTGGGAGAGGGTACTCCAGAGGGGTCAGCGCCAAGCTAGACAGAAGCTGGAGAAGCACAAGCCTTCGGCCTGGTGGAGCCTTGGGATGCAGAAAGGGCAGCACAGGACCAGCAGTTAGCGTAATGGCTATTTCGCTGGACTTCCATGTAGTCGATTGTGGTTCGAGTCCTGGATCCAGTGCTTAGCATGCCCAAGATCCCAAGAGGAGAATGGAGGAGAAGGGATTGCGGCATGGCCATCCACCCTGGGGGGTGATGTCTCGCTTTCTGTCTGTCTGTCTGTCTCTGTCTTTCTGGCAAGCGCACGTGCCCTATAGCAAAAACCTCTCCAAAAAAGGAAAGAAAAATGTGGATTCTGAGAGCAAAATGATACCTTTTTTTTTTTCTTTACTTTTGATATTTCTTAACTATACTATTGATAAAACAATAGAAAAACTCTTTACCACCACTTCCTTGTATAAAGGGAAAGTGAACAAAGAGGCTCCTAAAATTAAATGGGCTCACTGAAGTTTTCCGTGGCTGACCCACGTTGAGAGGTTCCAGGTTCATGTCGAGACCTCCCTGGAACCTCAGGCTTGCTGAGGCCAGAGAGGGATTGAGGCACCCGCATCTTCTTGCAGGTAGCTGTTTCTCTCTCGCTTGCTTTCTTTGTTTCACTTGCTTATGGAAAAAATAAATAAATAATATAAATTGTGGGGCTGAGAGGTGGCATGGTGGTTAAAGATACTGGACACCCACATGGCTGACTGCAGTTTTAAGTCCTGGACCTGGCAACTTGCTTTCTCACTCTCCCTTTTTCTCTGCCTCTATCTGGTTAAATTAAAAAAAAATAATAAGTGAAATTAAATAAGTAATTCTTTTTTAAAAACAGATATGTATAAATTGTATGTGTGGATGTGTGTTTGACTAGTGACAGCACCTTCAGGAATAGATAAGTGGAATTTAAAGTTTGTGAACTAATGTAGAGCACATGAAATGATCAGAAATTAATTTTCTATTTCAGGATGTTCTTTGATAAAGCGATATTAGCTTCAGAAGGCACAAGGCATTCAAAAGAGGAAAGAATAACAGAAAAAGAAAGAATAACAGAAATCCTGGTTAGGTTCAGGTGACAATAAAACACTGAAATCTTAAGTTAGTTTGATTTTGAAATGTTGCAGCTTGAGTCTGAGGCAAGTCCCTAAAGAGTTGTTGTGATGTATTTTTACAGCAAAACCATGTGTTCTCATTAACATCCCTTACTTCCCAGCCGCCTTCCTGCAGGACAAGCTCAGCTCTAGAACGTTTGAAAATTCACTGGTGGAGCTTTAGACCTTTATCCAGAAGGTGCAACCCGTGCGTTAATTTTTGCACACTTCTTTCACCCCCAAATCCCAGGGACAGGCGGGCATCTAGGTGACCTCCACACCCTCGAACCATCCTTTGGTTGCCCACAGAGCTGCTTTCTCTAGGAGAGAGGCTCAGAGAAGTCGGGATGAGCTTGACCACGGTCCCCGGGTAAGAGCGTCCTGGCCCCTGCACTTAGAGCTGCTTTTCTTGAGCCCTGCCCCTGCCCCAGGCCCGTTGGCCTTCACAGCCCTCATCGCTCATCATGGTTAAACCTCTGTGCAGACTGCTGTTACCCCACCTTGCAGATGCTCACCAGGCTTGGACGAGGCAGAGTCGAGGTCAGGCCTGCTAGCCCAGGACCGAGCAGCCATAGTCATCCGGGCCCCTGTCTTCAGCACAGCGCCTTACACAGCGAGGCACAGAGAGGGTGGTCAGTCCTGGGCAGCGAGTGAAGCTGTTGAGCAGATCTCAGCAGCCAGAAGAGTGCTCCTTGCACCTGGCTCGGGCAGTGTAAAGGACAGTGATGTTTGCTTAGCAAGAGTAGTTTAGGAATCGGGGTGCCAGATGGTGGGGCGGTTGTAACACAGCCCTGCAAGGTCGACCCACACAAAAGGTTCCAGGTTGTACCCGGAGACCTCCCTGGACGCACCAGGTGTGTGTGCGCCCGTGAACCCGGATGGGCTGTGGTGCAAGGGCTGCTGCTGGGCGCTTCCCCTCGGCCCCTCGCTCATGGAAAAGATAAACTTCTCAAGATGTATGTCTATATATACAAAAGTAATTCTCCCCTCAAAAACTAAAAGTGAGGCCAAGAGTGATGGCATGTGCCTATACTCCTGCTCAGGAGGTCAAGGCAGGAGGGTTATGAGTTCGAGGCCAGGCTGGGCACCATCGTGAGTGCTTGTTTCCCACTTCCTTTCTGAGCTCATCAGCAACAGTCTAGCTTTTTTGGTCGGAGCTGCTTGGGCTGGGCAGACAGGGTGAGGCCTAGGAAGGGGTCTGCTGCTGCTTTATCTCTGGACAGTGTTCTAGAAAGCTCTGTGTCCCCTGAAGAAGGCACCAGGGAAGGTTTTGTTGGCATGCAAATGTAGTTTTGTTGTAGGGCTGTAGCACCTGTGCTCATAGCGAGAGAGGGAGGGTAAGAAATCATCCCTCATGGGGCACGGCCACGTGGGAGTCTCTTCTCCATTCTCCTTTCGGGATTTTGGGCACACACATACACCTGATGTGATTTTCAAGCTGCCGGGTCCAGGTCTCGACCACGCAGTCCGCTCTGTGGGATCCAGCCGCCTTAATCTCCATGCCACCTGCTGGTCCCAAATCCTGTCTTTTTTGAATCCTTTCTGGATGTGTACAGCCTCTCTATCCAGACCCAGGCACGCTCGGCCTGGCCCGTTCGCTCTCCCCCCAGCCCCTAGTCTCTCCCTACCCTGACAAGCCTCCCCACAGGGTTGCAGCATGGCCATCCCCTCTGGGGGGTGATTTCTCAGTTTTTCTCTCTGTGTCTGTCTCAAGAGATCACGAGGCCTATAGCAAAAAATATCTTTAAAAAAAACTAACCATACTCTCCCTATATGATCAGCGATCACACTTCTTGGTATTTACCCATGTGAGCTGAAGACACTCCCACACCGAAGCGTGCACGCAGATGCTTACAACTGCTTGAGTCATTGTTGCCCAGACCTGGAGGTGGCCCTGATGCCCTTCCATGGGTGGATGCATAAATAAATTGTGGTACATCCAGACAAGTATGATTCAGTGCTAGAAAGAAACACGCAGTCAGGCCATGAAAAGACAAGGAGGATCCCTAAGAGTCTGAAAAGACCTATTCCGGCTGCTGTCACAGTAGACATTGATTGCTCACAGTTAGAGACGGGGAAGTTCAAGATCAAGGCGCCCAGATGGGGTGTCTGGCAAGGACCTGGTTCCTGTTTCACAAATGGTGCCCACCATGTACCCTCACACAGCGGGAGGGCGGTACACTTCCCTGGGGCCTCTTCCCTGAGGGCACCGATCCCCTCATGACCTAGTCCCCTCCCAGCGGCCCCACGCCTGGACGCTGTCACGCTGGGGGTTCACAGGCACTGGGATCATAGCAGCTGCAGGCCCAGCTATGAGGTGCGTGTGATCGTCGGGCAGGTCCCGCAGAATGTGCAGCACCAGGAGTGGGCCCTGATGTAAACCACGAGCTCTGAGTGGTCCAGGAGGTGCCGGCGCGGGCCGTCGGCCATCGCGAGCTTACCCTTCTCCTGTGGGAGGTTGACAGTGGGCACCTGTGCAGGTGTCGGGCAGTGGGCGTGTGGAGAAGCTCTGTATTTCCTTCTCAGCTGAGCTGTGGAATAAAGCTACTCAGTAGTCTTATTTTTCTTAATTATTTATTTAATTTTTTAAATTTATCATAAGAGCTTTTTGCTATAGGGCACATGCACTCACCAGAGACAGGAAGTGAGAAATCACCCCCCCAGGGGGAATCACCATGCCACAGTTCCTTCTCCTCCATTCTCTTCTTGGGATCTTGGGCATGTACACACACATGCCCGGTGTGAATGTCAAGCCTCTGGGTCCGGGACTTGAACCACTGTCAGCCACGTGGGAGTCCAGTGACATAACCATTACACTATCTGCTAGTCCCAGTTGTTGTTATTACTAATTTGCTATAGGGCATGTGCACTCACCAGAGAGAGAGAAAGCAAGCCACCAGGTCCAGGGCTTCAGCCATGGTTGCCATGTGGGAGTCCAGCACCTTAACCACCGTGCCACTACTGGCCCCCTCAAAAGTCTAAAAAGAGAGAGAGAGAGACTAGGACTTCAATCCTAGACTTTTTCATAGTTTAACAGATCCTTTTTTTTTTTTTTTTTTTTTTTTAAGAGGTTTTTGCTATAGGGCGTGTGCACCCGCCAGAAAGACAGAGAGAGACGGAGAGAGAGAAAGTGAGAATTCACCCCTCAGGGAGGATGGCCACGCCTCAGTCCCTTCTCCTCCATTCTCCTCTCGGGATTTGGGCACGCACGCACATGCGCCTGGCTTGATTTTTAAGCCACTGGGTCCGGGATTCAAACCGTGGTCGACCACATGGAAGTCCAGCAACATAGCCGTGATGTCAACTGCTGGTCCCCGGATACCTTTTATTTTTAAAGTTTATTTTTTCCATGAGAGATGGGAGTGAGGGTGCACCCCTGTAGGTTGTTACGTCACATTTCAGCCCCAGCCAGCCAGGATTATGGGTGTGCACACAGGCCTGGCATGGACAGGGAGACTTCAGGACACGAACCCAGGACCTTCCCGTGGGGCTCACTGCAGTACCATGCACCACCAGGGCCGGCCAGTTTGGCTGATATCTTCCTCTGGAAATACTGGTCACTGTCACTGGGTTGCCCTGAAGGTGACGAGACTTCAAGTAAGCAATAACATTTCCGTCTCCGCCACAGGTCTGTGAACTGCAGTGTGTTGACGCTGGTCTCTCTTCTTTCCTTCCAGGACAACCCTCCATATGACAAGGGGGCCTTCAGAATCGAAATCAACTTTCCAGCAGAGTACCCATTCAAACCACCGAAGATCACATTTAAAACAAAGATCTATCACCCGAACATCGATGAAAAGGGGCAGGTCTGTCTGCCAGTAATTAGTGCTGAAAACTGGAAGCCAGCCACCAAAACCGACCAAGGTAAGGCACGCTCCTGTGTCTTCCCCAGGTGGGCCCTCCTGGGTTTGCTGCTGCAGAGCAGGGGCTCGTGTCACATCAGGCATGTGGGAGTCCAAGAAATCCTCCCTTATTGATTCAAGTGCATGGGGAAGCCCTGCCGAGGTCCCACCAGTCACTACCCACCAGGACTGGCCCATTTCAGTGAGCCGATGACCGTACAGGGGCGGGAAAGGCCTTCCGTGCACAGCGAGGGCGAAGGATCGTGAGAAGGGATGGGAATCTGGTGCTTGAGGTGGCCTCACACTGCCTTAGTACCTGAACTCAGACTTGAGGGAAGCAGGGAGGTTGGAGGGGGCCTGGATGGAAGAAGAGCATGAGCCCCAGCCCAGTGGCTCGGCCTCCACAGGAGTGGAGGCCTGGGCTCCCTGGGGCTGGGTGTGGCTTGGTGTCTGGACACGTGCTCGTTTTTCTGGGCAGAGTTCTAGATTCAGTACTGCGGTTGCCCTTCTTGTCCCTAGTCCATAATTAGTTTGTGAAGGACTGTGTCTAGCTTTTATTTAATTCTAGACTGCTTTGAGGTTCTACTCTCATGTTTTTGGTGTCTTTTCTGTAAGTAAGTAACTGAACCGGTTAAAGCGAGTGGTCTTAGGTAAAAGAGAGCGGATGGGCATTGGGGCGGCCGCAGAGGTTTTCAGTGACTCAGATGGTCATTCTGGAAGATGGAGCTGAAAGCCTTTCACACAAAAATGCGAGCCTTGCTCGTCAGAAATAATCCCTGTGAGGGACCAGCAGTTAGCATAATGGCTATGTTGCTGGACTCCCATGTCGTCGACTGCAGTTCACGTCCCAGGCCCGGTGGCTTAAAACTCATGCCGGGCGCGTGTGCGTGCGTGCCCAAGATCCCGAGAAGAGAACGGAGGAGAAGGGATTGCAGCGTGGCCATCTCCCCTGGAGGGTGATTTCTCGCTTTTTGTCTCTGTCTCTCTCTGTCTGTCTGGCACGCGCACGTGCTCTATAGCAAAAACCTCTCCAAAAAAGAAAGAAAGAAAGAATCCCTGTGAAGGCGTCCGTAGGTCTTTGGCGTAGAGCTTTGGCGTAGAGCGGAGCAGGTGTTAAACCTTCGTTCAGATACCGGGATCTCCAGCGGGCGTGATACTTGGGCTTATGCAAGCTTGACACACTTGTGCTTAGTGCTCACGGCCTGCCTTTTCCTGCACAAACCCCTAGCTGCCTGTCAGCCATCACTAGTCAGAGCATCCTGTCAGCCCGTGTTCACATACCCCAAGTTCTTGCCGCCTGGGTCTCTCTAAGTCCCATGCCTCTGCCCCCATCAGCAGAGTCTGGGGTCTGCTCCTCACCCGAGGATAGAGGAGTCTGGCAGGAGATGGTGCAGGCCCCTTGCCGCCTCTCCCTGGGGCTGGCTGCGGGAAGGGCTGTGGCTGATTATTCCTGGTTTTAGCCTCAGACGTAGCTGAAACGTTCTCCAGTCTTGGCTGTGGCTGCTGCTGTTCAGAGAGCCAGAAAAACAGAAAGCCTGGGGCAGCTTTTTATTCTTTGGTGAATGTACTTGTCAGCTTGGAATTCGTGTTGTAGTAACTGTTATGGGGCAAGCACGTGCTGGAGGGGAGAGAGGGAGGGTAAGAGAGTAAGACAGCACCCTCACGGGCATAACACCCCGCAGCTCCTTCTCCACTCTCCTCCCAGCGTTTCCAGCACCTGTACACACGTACCTGACATATATAAATTACTAATTTGTTTTCACTTGACTGGGAAAATTCGAACTGCTTCACAAATTGACGTGTCTTGCACAGGGGCCAAGCTCGTTGTCTCTGTATCGTTCCAATTTTAGCATACGTGCTGCCGAAGCAAGCACCTGACATGTTTCTCAAGTCACTGGGCCCGGGATTCAAACCGTGCAGTCAGTCATGTGGGATCCGGCTGCCTTCCCCGCCACTGGCTGCTTCCCATCGTTGGGATATTTTTTTTAAGAGTGATTTTTACTATAGGTACATGCGCTCCACAGAGACAGAAATCACCCTCGGGGAATGGCCAGGCAGCAATCCCTTCTCCTCCGTTCCCCCTCAGGATGTTGGGCATGCACACACACGCACCTGGCGTGGTTTTTAAGCCGCCGGGTCTGGAACCCGAACCACAGTTGACTATGTGCGAGTCCGGCGACGTAACCATTGCCCCATCTGCTGGTCCCATCCTTGGGATTTGTTGTTGTTGTTGCTATTTTTAAGGCCAGATTTTGGTATGGGTGCTAACCTTTGTGCAGTGATGGGCAGGATTGCGGACTTGGGATTCATGACAGTTTGGAGTTGCTACATAACTGTTGTGTGGATTCTTTGCGGCATGGCCTTGATCCCATTCACTGTGTATGGGGACCTCAGAATGTTTGTGGGAAAACGCAATAGAAGAGGCTGGCCCTATAGCCTGCTGGTTAAGGAAGCTGTATCCCATGGCCAGCCATAGTTCAACTCAAGTCCCTGCCCTGGCAGCTTGAAAAACATTCCAGGTTGTTCATACATGCCCCAAATTCCAGCAGGACAGAGAGATGGGGAAGGGATTGCGGCTTGACCATGCCCTTTGGGGATGCTATCTCCCTGTCTCTCTGTCTAGCAAGCACATGCTCTTAGAGAGAGGGAAATGGAGTCAAAGTATCAGTTTCTTTTGGTACAAAACATTTTGAAATCCATGCATAGTTTAAAAAACAAAAAAGCTTTTTTTTTTTTTTTTTTTGAGAGTTTTGTTTTGCTATAGGGCGTGTGCGCTCACCAGACAGAGAGACAGAAAGTGAGAAATCACTCCCCCCAGGGGGGATGGCCACGCCGTAATCCCTTCTCCTCCATTCTCCTCTCGGGATCTTGGGCACGCACGCACACGCGCCCAGTGTGAGTTTAAGCCACTAGGTCCGGGACTCGAACCACGGTTGACTACGTGGGAGTCCAGTGACATAGCCATTACGCCATCTGCTGGTCCCAAAAAACATGCATTTTCTATGGCCTTTTTTTTTTTTTTTTTGGAGAGAT